GCTAATTCCCATGTCAAATGTGTGTTTGAACATGAACGTGACATGAAGTATGCCATCTTTAACTCAACAAAAAAATCAGTGTGTTGGACAACTCCAAATGTTCACTGCAAAGACGAGTACTGTCAAAACAATGCTGCAAAAGAATGCAAATCTGAAAAGTCTACTTGGTATAAGCAGCACCACTCAGCCTGTGAAAATGTCTTCTGTGGCTCTGGGTGAGATTTGCCAAAATTGAGGAAATAGTCCTACCTTTACTGAGTTTCAGCTTGAGACTTTAAATTTAAAACAGCAAGTCTGTATTACATACTGGGGGAGTTTGAGTTTATCACGGAGGAAGATTCTCAAGGAAAGTGCATCATCCAGTGTTTGCGTCAAATCTTTTTAAAAAAGCACTTTTGCAGTGAGTCATTGTTGGGAAAAGAAAAAAGGAAGAAAACAAATCAAAAGTTCAAATTCTAACAAGTCCATCAAGTATATGCAAATGCTGTACTGAATTTGCTCGAGTACAGCTTTAATGTACGCTGCCAAGACAACACAACAAAAGTACTTTCCACATCTTAGCCAAATACAAATGCACTGAGTTTCCATCTTAGATGCTGAACATGATTTCAGTGTTCTATATACTATTATAAATATAGCGTTTCATACTAACGCACGAGCAGTTTTACTTTTCAAGTCTTCATCGAGCGATCAAAGTGAAGGCTGGAAAAGCGATTTCTTCAATTTAGTAACAATTACGCACTTTTTGCAGCTAGTTTTGAGAGAAATTTTGGACGTTCTTCCCACAAAACGGTTTTAGTTCGTCAACATTTCTGGGACATCTTGATTGAACAGTCCTCTTCAGGTCACGTCTGAGCATCTCATTTGAGTCAAGTTCAATATTTTCATTTGGCCGTTTGATAAAAATGAATTTTCTTATTTTGTTGTTGAGTTATTTAAGTGTGCTCTTCCATCACCAAATTTGTGTTCTCGCTTCATGTCGTGCTGCCCTGACATTCGCCTGTAAATCGAATCCAATTTAAAAATTCATTTGTCCTCTCAGTGATTGTAAGGCGTCCTGTAGGGTTGTAGAACATCCAAGTGGTCTTGTGCAAATTTAAAATGTGCAGTTTTTAGTGATCAGTGGTTTCCTTTATGTTGTCCTAGCATTAAGACCCATCTGGATGAAGATTTATCAAGTTGTAGAGACGGAGCCTGATTCAGGATTGCATGTTGTAGCTACAGTCCTGGTTTTCTTCCTGTAGAGCAAGGGATGTCAAACTTCAGTCCTCGAGAGCTACTGTCCTGCAGCTTTTAGATGCATCCCTACTCCAACACAGCTGAATCAAATGCTTGGATTACCTTTTCAGCTTACCATCAAGTTTGGCAAAGGCCTGATAACAAGCCATTCATTTGATTCAGGTGTGTCAGAACAAGGATGCATCTAAAAGCTGCAGGTCAGTAGCTCTTATGGACTGGAGTTGGAGACCCCTGTTGTAGAGAGTTGGTACATTCAGGTTTTTCAACCGTCTTCTGAGCTCCAGCCAATATGTCTCAGGAATCGCAGATAATGTCAGCAACCAGATTTTGCATGTTTTTATTTAAAAAGCTGGGCACCTCTGCAGGTCCAATCTCATCTGGTTAACCGGAACACTGGACTCCAAGTAGCTCTTTTAGTCATTATCATAGAGCTCCACTTAGTTTTTCCAACGTTCACTGTGAGTGATTCTGTTAAACATCTTTCAAGTCCCACTGAAATACTCCTACGCTGTAATTTTGAGCTACCAAGTCTTTTGTGTTGCGCTGCTCAGCGTTTGACTGGGAGCTTGTATATAATAATACATTTCAGATGACAAAAACTGGTCTGCACAACACCGAATAAAACATTTAACTTTAACAGCCTCTACATTTGATGCTGGCTTTAACAATTATGTGTTTGTATGCACACAAAAATGAAAAAATAACATTATTATTTCTCTGCATTAAAGTGGTAATTACAGGCACCAATCAACTTTTTTTATTTCCAACGTTTTGGTATTTTAACAATGAAACCTCCTCAGTGCGCATAACTGGATTAAAATCTCCTTAAATCTTCTAAAATTGCTGCAAATCACCATGAATGGTTTATAACAAAAGTATCCAGTGTTGGAAACCCAGGCAAAGTGTATTAAGTTTGAAGTAGTTGAAAACTGAGCGTCTCAGAGCAGGGAAGGTGAGCTGCGATCGCCCCGCTGAGCCATAGCTGGAGCTTGATTGGTTCTGATTAGTGAATAAATCAAACAGGTATCAAATCAAGCCGGGCCAATTGCCTCCTACTCACACCTTGATTAGGTTCATGCACCCAAACGCTTTCCCCAGTTGAGAAACACTCTCCCTCACTTACAAAACACACACACACACGTCTGCCCTGTAATTGGCAAACTCTCCCTGCCTTAGTCCACGCCAGCTGTAATTAGTGTGCCAGCAACAATGCTTGTTTGTCAAAAAACACACATGTACGCATACACAGAGCTCATCCCATTTTCTCTTATGTCTCAGCAGACACCCTTTGATACACCCCCACACACACACACACACGGGCACGAAAACACACACAGACGCACACACGCATTATTCAGCCTTCCATGATGCCTGGGGCAGTTAGTATTTACAAATCCGCTTGTTTCTCTGCGAAATCTCTCACATTACTTCTTGGATTCTGTCATAATGTTGGGAACTACTAAATCTCACTATTTCCACCGATTCAAAGCAGCGTTACAGGATATCTTACTGACTGGATCATTGTGGGAGATGCAGTTTTGCTTACAGTATACAGGTTTGCTGAACTGCTTATAGGGGAGGTGTGGCACAACCAATCATTAGTGCACACGTGCGGTTTATAGTGATGATTAGGAAGAATTCAAACCTGAAAACATCGAGTCATTTAGGAGAAAAATGGGTCTTTGATGTCAAACAGTGGTGAAAAATGGCAGACTTCTTGTTTCCTGCTGGAAACTGCTGGCAAATGTAGCTAGTTTGCTAAATAAGCTCATATGTGAGAAGAAATTAATTAAATACAGCAATAAAAGATCATAAGATCCATTTAGTTCATATTACAATCTGTATGTTTAATTCTACACTTAGGCTACGTTCACACTGCAGGCGAAAGTGCATCAAATCCGATTTTTTGACCCTATGCGACCCATGTCATGGTATGACAGTGTGAACGGCACAAATCCGATATTTTCAAATCCGATCTGGGTCACTTTCGTATGTGGTACTGAATCCGATACATATCCGATGTTTCAGAAAGCGACTGCTGTGTGAACGGTCATGTCGCATTAAATCTGTCTTTTACGTCACTGCCACAAGACAGACGCCAATTATCAGCGCCGGAGAAGCGCTGGAGTAGACATCGCGAACGCTTCCTGGCCATCCGGTGAAACTGCTGGGAAGACAACGTTAACATTTTATTTGTACTGCATAATCTGCAGATTCTGACAGAAATCTGCAGCTATCCTTTGAAGCACCGCTCCTCTAACAGCAATAACGATAATTATTAGGTTATCCACATTATTATGTAAATAACAAAATAACTTAAAGCAAAAATTGGGAAACGTAAAGTCCGAAGTCTTTATATTAAGGGCCATCAGTCAAACAATATTGTTTGCTCTGGGTCTAAACAGAGCGCGTTGTGTGTGACATCTTCTTTTGCGCATGCGGGCCGCTTTGAGCGTTCACACTAGAGCGCGTTTGCTGTCGCATTTTATTTGTAGTGTGAACAAGCAGACAAAAAAATCGGATTTGATCAAAAAATCAGAATTGAACATTAAGACCTGCAGTGTGAACGTAGCCTTAATCTGTTAATACAGGAAACCCATCCACATGTGGGATAGCTTATTGCACAGAATGAGGATGGTAAGTGAAGACATGTTTGGCTAATGCATTAGCAAAATATTGATTCTAAATATTGTTTTTAGATGAAAGTTTTCACTAAATGTGGTACAAACTTGAAACGTTTAGGTAAAAGATGTTTTCAGATAGCTGGACCTTCATCATTAATGCGTGTGCATGGTCTACCGGAGGTCTGAATTTAGATATTGAATTGACCTTCCTGCAGTCCAGATCTTTCACTAGCTGAAAACATTTGACGATCCAGGACTGTAGAGCTGCTAGAACCATATATTAGATAAGAACGGGACAATTTTCCTCTCCCTAAACTCCAGCAGCTGTGCTCCTTAGGTCCAAGATATTATTACAGACTGCTATTCAAAGTAGTGGGGATGCTACACAGTAGTAAACATGACTCAAGACAACTTTTATAGAATGTGCTGTTGCTATCAAATTCAAAATGAGCTCATATTTCTCTTGAAATTGTACACCTTCTCACGTTAAATATTTAACATTTTCTGTTGTGAATAAAATTTGGGCTCATGGGATTTGCAAAGAATTGCATTTTGTTTTTACTTATAGAGCCTCCCCGTGTTTTTATAGAACTGTGTTTGCATCTTTTTGGAACGTAGCCTAAAACCACACAAATGATGACCCGCAGACTGTATATTAGAAAAAAAAACCACCTAAAAAACCCGATGTAGCCAACATGAAGCAGGACGTGATGACTGAGAAACTGAGGGACACTCTTTAGGCGAAGACTTCCAGCTTTATCTTCTGCTTTGCCTCAAAAAAGGAACATAATTTTGAAGAAACACCTTGTAAAAAACTAATGAGTGAGAGCATGCACTCATTAGGCAAATGTTTACTGACAGACTTGAATACAACAGTTTTTACAATCAGAGGAGTCACATCCTGTGGGCCACTAGAAATAATCTGGGTTTAAGGTATTTCCAAACTGGCTTCACAAACTACATCCATATAACTTTAGCGGTTAAAGCAGAAAAACAAACTTGTTTTTTGGGCGGTTTGGAAAAGGTTAAAACTCAATACAAACCACTTAACGTTCATTTCAGTGACTGAAAATTCACTGATTAGAAGAGAGGTTTGGTGAAAGTCAAAGCACATCTCCTTCAAGGAAAAAATCTGACCTCTTGGTGCTGGAGTGAGGGCGCTGGGCGGCGGACAGCTGCTGCAAGCCCAGGGTAGGGCTGTGGAAGAGAAGACCGCTGCGTCGAAGCAGTTTCTGCTTCATGGCTGGCAGGCCGCTCCACTCCATAACAAACCTCAGCACCTGCGGGGCGACACGACACCTCACTTCATATTCAATTTCAAGCCGCGACTGCAGCCGCCGGAGTCTTCATTTTCAACACAAATTGATAGTTTGGACAGTGGAACCTCTTTAAAAGCAAAACATTTTTTTAGCTTTTCAATTTTGAAAATGCACTTCAGCCAAAAACAAACAATTCAAAGGAGACAGTTTTCCAGATAGCTGAACAAAACCCATTAAACCAAAAGAGGGCTGAATATTCTTCCAGCGAAGGCAGGATTCGAAGAAAATCTACCAACAATATAACAAATAGCTCACCAGACACCGAGCCCTAATGGACAATTTACCTACGTATATTACACTTGAAAGGGTTTTTTCCCCGTCTTTGCTATGGATGATATTTACCGTCACAAAAAAGACTTGGGTCAAGATAAAAGTCTTTATATGTTATATGCAGACAGGTTTCAAGCTATCACAGCATGAAAGCTGTCTTTGTTGATCTTTGCGCAGGTATATTTTGAAGGAATTAGTACGTACTACTCATTAAATGTTTAATGTTAAATGAAAGTATTCAACAGAAACAAATGTTTGACGTCTGGATGTAAAGATGAACTCGTTAAAATAACGTTAATAAGTATATATTTTAAAATATTTATTATATAACATATGTACAACATGTATCATGACAGCTATCTATATATAATACATGTGATATTTATATAACACACTAATATCCCCCAAAAAAGTAATGTTCATGTACCTCTGATTTAATAAAAATTTATGGATTGCTAATCCTTTCACAGACATGAGGTTCTATAAAAAACAATGAGGAAGTTTGTATTGTAACCCAATGATATCAGCACTTGGTGAATGTGGGGCAGAAGACCTCTCTTTTGAAGAGGACTGATTGCAATTTTCTTGGATTGATTCTGATAGCCCATACAGATTTTTGCTGATTCCAGTTTTCCAGAACTAGAATTGACAGCATATACAAACAAAAAAATAACTTTTTCTTCAATATTAAATTCTAATTTTATAATAAAATGAATTATCACACTTTATTTGTCCACGTTTAGCTGTGTAAGGGGGGTTTAACTGCCTGATTAGGTCTGTCTAATGTGTATGCTAATGCAAATGTCTAACAACATTAGCATTTGCAACGTAAGCGTTTGCCTCTGAGTGTGCGCACAACTATCTGATAACAGCAATGAGCTATGTGACATTAACCGGCCGGTCCCTTGTCAAGTATGCTGGAAACTGCTGGCTTGTCAATTAGAGCATGTATTTAATTCAATTTTATTTTTATTTAGCCAAATCTCAAGAAGAGTTGCCTCAAAGTGCTTTATATTGTAAAAAGACCCAACAACAATACAAAGAAAACAGAGAAAACCCCAACAATCAACAAACATCCTGTGAGCTAGCACTTTGGTGACAGTGGGAAGGAAAACCCCCTTTTAAAAGGAAGAAACTACGGATTCAAGGTCACCTGATCCAATCCTAAATATAGGCTTTAAAAAAGGACATTTTTAAGCCTAATCTTAAAAGTAGAGATAGTGTCTGTCTCTCGAATCCAAACTGGAAGCTGGTTCCACAGAAGAGGCGCCTGAAAGCTCAAGCATCTGCCTCCCATTCTACTTTGAAATACTCGAGGAACCACAGGTAAGCCAGCAGTCTGAGAGCACAGCGCTCTAATGGGGTGATGCAGTGCTATAATGTCATTAAGATCAAATGGGGCCAGATTATTCAAGACCTCGTATGTGAGGAGCATAAAAGCATCTCTGCTTTTATCAGGAACAGACAGTACCAGAGTCAGCGAGGGGCCGCCATCTACAAAACCAGAACAACGGCATTTAAAACCACAAACGATACTAAATTATTATCGCCCATAACATCCTTGAGACTGAAGGCAAGTAGTACTCTGTCATTAGGAACTCAAATCACAGCATCAAGCCGAATGTCATGTGCCGGTAGAGCACCGAAACCCTCCTCTACAGCGAGACAGTCTTCCTCCTGACAGGAGGAAAGTAGAGATGAAGACTGTGGGTAAGCTTAGTGAAAATCTGAAATAGTAATTGTGCTGCCAGGCCATCAGAGGTTAGATGAGAGCCAAAAAGTTGAATCAGATGTCAAAAGTTGAAACTAAGGAGGAGAGTGGGATGCTCCTTCCAGCTTGCAGATTGGCCGAAGGTCAGACAGGTTAATAGGTGAGACGTGTGGGTGGAAACAGAGGGTGCTTTGATTTTCACTGTGTATCTGGACAAAGATGTATGATAATGATACTTTTATCCTTTAAGTTTTACTTTTTTCTTGGTGGTAAATGATACTCCAAAGGCTAAAAACAAAACAAAATCATTGGTCCCAGTGGTTTTTGTCTTTTTAGGAAACCTTCATATTGGTGTTTATACTAGAGATGGCACGATACCACTTTTTTATGTCCGATACCGATACCGATATCATAAATTTGGATATCTGCCGATACCGATATGAATCCGATATAGTGTTTTTTAATCAACAAAACTGTTTTTTAAATATCTTGCTGCATTTTGTATAAGTTCATACTCAAGTTTAAAACAACAACTACACTAAAGCTATTCTGTTATACCTGTATGCAAAAAAAAATATTTCATAGTTCAGCAATACTGATCAATCTAATAAACTTAAACCTACACCATCCTCCCTATTCTGGTATTTTAAAGAGTACTTAGCATAAATATTAAGCAACCTAACTAATAGGGTTCCAACTCCCAGCAACAACAAAAATAAATAAATAAAAAATAGGGAACCACCCCTCACGCTCCACCTCATGATGCTTAATCGACGTAATCAACCTTAATTTGATGCAGTGTGAAAAAAAAATGCACAGAAATCAATTATTTTTCAAGAAATATTAAATAGATTCAACATCTTTCTTCAACAAAATTGCAGACTGCACAGATGGTACCTTCCCAAAGGAAAAAGTACTATAGCTTACTAGGGTATATATATGACTTAATAGTTAACTATATACAGTAATTGGACTTCTATACATTTTACATCAGATTAAAACTTTGGGTGTGACAGATAATTATTTATTAAAAGCTAGACATTTTAAATGAGAATAAGAAAGAAAAGTATGTCTTTGTGCCCCCTTTTCCCTGTTCATGCCCTATCGGCCCCCCTGGCTAAACTTTGCTAGATCCGCCCCTGCACAGTTACCAGCCGTCAGCTACGTAGAAAAAGATCCTGGTGTAGAAAGTAATATTAAATAAATTCTAACAACAGCTTATCAAGCTTAAACGTGCTGCTGTTGTTCAGCCGCTGGTTTCCTCTTTCTGGTGCGAAGTGGGCCAAAAACAAGAGACGGACTCGCGACAGAAAAGCTGATCAGCTGATCATTTAAGCAGTTTCACGATTGAAGTAGCAGCCGGAGAGCGAGAGGCAGTCGCTCGTTAAGCTTAACGCAGGAATGCTTTACAAACATTCAGAGATGGACTTACACACTTGCTTTACTTCTCTCGGGGATAACTTTGTCGGAGATGAAATGCCGGGTTGCTAGCGAAGCTCCAAATGCTATCCAGACCACCGACAGGTCCCGCATGCCACAGCCGCTCTATCACGTGATGCATACTGCTCCGACGTGCTAACGTTCTGAGGTGAGTTACGGCGTGTTGCAAGTTTTGTGAGGTGCTTTCGTGATATTTAATGGATCGGATTACATTTTTTATTTTTCTCCGATATCCGATCCAGTAATTTAGGTCAGTATCGGACCGATACCGATACGTAATATCGGATCGGTCCATCTCTAGTTTATACAAATGAGGAATTAATATGTAAAATTCTATCTAAACGGTATCATGGTTACAGCCAGGTTACTGGGACAATTGTAACACCTGTTTATTACTTTAACAGAACACATATCTAAATGTCACAGACCAGACTGACATACACAATGTGCTCTGTCCTCCTCGAGTTTCTTATTTCACTAAAACAGAAAATAGGGAAAAAAATAAGTTTTTTTTCCTATTTTCGGTTCAAAAAATAGAACAAACATCAAAAGTTTATGTGTCACTTTGCAGTTATTTATTTGTAAAAAATGTTTGGAATCATGTATGATTTCCGTTCCACTTTTCACGTGTGCATCACTTTGTTTTGGTCTTTCACGTGGAATTCCAATAAAACTGATTCATGTTTGTGGCTGTAATGTGACAAAATGTGGAAAAGTTCAAGGGGGCGAATACTTTTGCAAGCCACTGTACTTGCTCAGTAACAGCAATAACCTCCCACACCTTCATTCAACACATGCCCTTTATACAATGTCATGAAAAACTATTTTCCTTCTTCCTGATTTCTTTGTTTTTTCCCATATTTGTCACACTTACATGTTTCAGATCATCCAACAAATTTCAACAAAGACAAATTCAATTAATTGCAAGCGTTAATAGCAAGCAATAATTGGCAATAAGTTTCACTGTGGAGTTTGTGGAGCTCAATCTTTGTAAAGGCAAGTGTTTTTTAGTAAGAACATCCTGTTTAAGGTTATGCCAAAGCACCTTCACTGGATTAAGTCTGGACTTTGATTAGGCCACTCCAAAACCTTCATCTCGGGGGTTTGTTTGGCCATTGAGTGGTAGAATTGTTGGTGTGTTTTGGATCATTGTCCTGCTGGAAAACCTGAGTGTGCTTGAGCTTCAGGGCACAAACTGATGGCTGGACATTTTCCTTCATAATTTTCTGGTAGAGAGCAGAATTAATGATTGCATCAATTAACAGATCAATGCACTCTCAAGGCTACTTGAGGGTGCATGGGAGTTTGCCCACCTAGTCTACATCTGTTTTGTGGATTTGGAGAAGCATACGACCGTGTCCCGCGGAGTGTCCTGTGGGAGGTGCTCCGGGAGTATGGGGTGTTTGGCTCATTGCTACAGGCCATTCGATCCTTATACAACTGTTGCAAGAGCTTGGTCTGCATAGTTGGACTCATCCGTGGTGGGTGATGGGCTCCGGTATGGCTGCCCTTTGTCACAGATTCTGTTTATAATTTTATGGAGATAATTTTTAGGTGTAGCCAAGTGGTGGAAGGCTTTCACCTGGTTGGTCTCAGAATCTCATTTCTGCCGGGAAAAGGGTGGAGTGCTCACTCCAGGTCAGGGACGAGTTCCTGCCATAAGTGGAAGAGTTCATGTATCTCGAGGTGTTGTTCACAAGTGAGGGGAGAAGGGAGTGGATTGGTACTGCGGCTGCAGTGATTCAGACACTGTACCGGTCTGTCATGGTGAAGAGGGAGCTGAGTGTAAAAGCGAAGCTCTCAATCCACCGATCGACCTACGTCCCTACCCTCACCTATGGTCACGAGCTGTGGGTAGTGACCAAAAGAGCGAGACTGCGGATACAGGTGACAGAAATGAGCTTCCTCATTTGGCTGACCTCTCCCTTAGAGATAGGGTGAGAAGTTCAGCCATCCGGGAGGGGCTCAGAGTAGAGCCACTGCTCCTCCACGTCAAAAGGAGCCAGTTGAGGTGGTTCAGGCATGTGACAAGGATGCCTCCTGGGCGAGATGTTCCAGGCATGTCCCACTGGGAGAAGACCGCGGGATAGACCCAGGACATGCTGGAGAGATTATATCTCTTGGCTGGTCTGGGAACGCCTTGGTGTTTCCCCGGACAAGCTGTAGGAGGTGGCTGGGGAGAGGGAGGACTTGGCTTGTCTCCTTAGGCTGCTGCCCCCGCGACCCGGCCCCGGATAAGCGGAAGAAGATGCATGGATGGATGAATCAATTAACGGAAGTAGTTCACATCCTGAAGCATCTAAACAGGCCCAGACCATCACACTACCACCACCATGTTTGACCCTTGCTTTGATGTTCTTTATATGAATTTTTTGTCTCGTCAGTCCACAGATTATTTTCCCAAAAGTCTCGGGATCATCAAGATGTGTTTTGGTAACAGTGAGGTGGGCCATTTTAATCGTTTTGATCTTTTTGTTTTTCACCTTCGAACTCTTCCATGGATGCCATTTTTACCAGTCTTTTTCTTATTGTTGTTCCTTACTTTATTTTGAAGCAAACATTCTCCTTTTCCAGTTTGTTTTGGACTTTTAACAGTTTCACAACCACTTTGCAATTAGTTTAAGTGAGTGTGCAACTGTGGTAAATTGCTAGTGACCAACGAAATAGCTAGAAAATTCTGGATGCAGCACCACATCCAGACTTATTATTATTATTGTGACTTATTACACCAATCAACTGCAAGCAATTTCCTGCGACCTCTTGCCAAACAGTTTGATAATACACGTTTTCCAGGCGACCATTTACCAGTCTCTAGGCCTGACTGACTGAAGTTATAACTACAGAGCTCAAAGTGTGAGAACACCATCTGTTAAAACCTTCTGTTTGGCAGGGCCAGCCAATCACAAAAATGTTAATTTAAAGGGGTCTGGTAGCTATTTTGGCTTATTTCAGACAAACAATGACCTGAGCCTCGGCACCAAAGCCAACTACACTACAGGTGCAACTTCTCGCTTAATGTAAATAAGGACCGAGTAGCTTTAGTAAGAATATAAAAGCAAAGAGGTTAAAACGGTTTTTGTTGAAAACTATTTGGGTTGTGTTCTCTTCACTAAACTGTATTTTAACCTCAATTAATGATTATCTTCACAGAAACATTATCCAGTTTTCATAAAATACAGATTATTCTAATACATATTCTGTAATTACTGACCATTCATCTCAAAGTTGGTTTGATTCATTTGCCAGTGTTGTTGTTCTGGCTGTAGGAGTGTTTACACACCACTGCTTCCCCATCCAAGACGTTTCACATCCCGCATTAAACCGCTTGCTAAGTATTGATTGTGATGGACAATTGGAGTGTAACGGGGCATAAATGATGGGTTGGAGGATGGCTGCAACTCACGCCTCGGTTTAACAAAGCAACATAAACAACGTGACAGGCGGGGCTTCTGTCAGTAGCTGGTACCGACACGGCAGATTGCAGGATTTAATATTAGCTGGTTGGTGCTTTGGGTCGTTTGAGGCGATGATCTGTCTCCTTTAACAACCCTCATAAAACTGCACACTTTCTTTTGCCCGACTCCTCGGCAGCCCAAACCCCCAAGCCACCCCCCCTCTTTTGTCCTATCTCCATCGTCCGCCACCTCCACTTCCTCATCCTCCTCCCTCTCCTGCTCTCCTTCTTCAGGCCCTGCAGTAGTGAAACGTGGGCGTCCATACTCCACCCATCTGTCAGGGGCCCAATGGTGCGCTGCTGCTCTTCCTGCTCATGATCAGAGGTGTCATTAGTTTCACATGCCAGTGACACACACACATCCATTAGGTTTAATAACCTCCGTACTGCCTCATGTCTCATCTTCACTGGGTCAGTGGAATTGAAGCGATAGCTCCACTGGTGAGATATGAAACTAAATTATCTTAGTCTAAAATTAAGGTCATCCTTAACGCAGCCTATGGGCACACTAAGTGAAAAACTTTTAGCTCCACACTCTAGCATATGCAGACTTTTCCATCATCTTAAATTCTTCTCATGGCTACATTTTTTTGTCTTTGCAATCAATCACAAGAAGCAAACAGTGGCACATCTTATAACCTAGAAGTCAACTTTAGTTTAATTTGCCTCTAAAGTGTTTTAACAGTAACGACAAATTAAGTAGGTACATCTCCCTCGTGTGAATGCCCCAGTCCACGTACGCACCCACACACATTCATGAATATCAAAGCGCACGCAAGAGACGCGCACATATCCAGACTTAGCCCGGCGGGAAGGGCAGACCTGTATTCGATTTTCCCTGCGCCGGCTGAAGGCCTCGGGCAGGTCATCCCAGTTGGTTAGTTTGATGTCCAATGGGATGAAACTCAAGTTCAGCGAAGCTCCGTCCTGAAAGATGAGGAGACAGAGACGAAGGAGACAGCCTGAAGCAAAGTTACCACCATCAAGTAAAGTATTGTAAAGTTGTAACTAATATTATTTCTAAACATCTTTAGCCTGACTTATAGTTTGTTACTCCACATTTGCCCTTCATCATCTAATATGAAGTCTTTGGAGGCAGCCATGCAATCTGTAGCTTTTGAAACATTTTAATTCCAGTTCAGTATAAAGTGCCAATTCAACACAGTCATCTCAAAGAGCTTCATATTTACACGGTAAATATTGAGGAAGAACAACAACCTCTGACAGAACCTGGCTCATGGAGGGGCAGCCTTCTGCATGACTGGCTGACTCCCTATACCTGTGTACCTGGATTTTCTCTAACCCCAGTTAGACGAGCCGTTAGTAAAGGGTAAGGATGGATGGAAAGAGACCTCAAACCAAACCAAAGCAAACACAAGAAACCTCAATAATTTAAAATGGCCAGCAGAGGGCAACTCTTCTGGTTGCTGTAAGGTGTCCAGCAGTATAGAGGGGAAAATGGCCTTAGGGTCCACTGACCTGTGATCAGTGAACACTTTTCTGACAAGCTTATGTGCTCAGATGCTACTTTCAAGTCATACTGAATAGAACAGGAAGCTTATTTTGAGGATGCTAGATATAGTGTGAAATGGAGGCAGATGATTTGCTGTGGCAACCCCTAAAGAAGAAGAGGAGTACTGATCAGGCTGACAGCTCATTGGCTAACAGCTTATCAGTCTCAGGTTGTTAGCTAATGAGCCTGCTTTGTCCCTCGGTCACATCTAGTTTCAAAACACTAAGATGGCTACGACACAAAGGGGACTTCACTAAACAATAAGTGCTCAATTATTGCCATCGTTTATATGCAGTTTATGATGCTGACCAAGTTTACTTGATGAAATGAGTTGCAGATCATAACGCGCAACTATATAGTTTTATTCACATACATATATATTTTATATACTATCTCGTGTAAACACAGCCAAAGATACAAAATAATTCTGCTGAATTAGAAACTGTGCGCCTTCATGGTTATATGAGTTTTAAATAACTATATGACTATATTTATAAATGTACATTTTTATGTAAATTATATGCATTTATGTGTACTTATGTCAGTTCCTCACAACTGAGTCCACTAAATGAAAGCCATGAGACACAGCTGAATAAACACAGTCAGAAATACAGTAATGAGCTAAAAACATCTTAATTAAACTACGATCGACGTTACCAAGCTTCACATGTCATTAAGCCTTCCATTATAGTTTTAAACCTGCCAGGGAATCATTTGTGTATGACTGCCAACAGTAATAAGGATTACAGCTATGTTACAGATCAGCAACCATTCCCAAACACAGGAACAAGTATTGTTTTACAGCAGCCATATAACGACTCATTCAACTAATATAAACTGATCTGAGAAACATGAATAATTGCATATATATAAAGTAATGGTAAAAACAGCTTAGCTATATGACTAAAATTATAACAGCTTTAATACCTTGGTAAGTATTTTATATATTAAAATAGTTAAAATGAATTCACTAAACTCCCCCAAAAGCTGAGAAGAATGGGTAAATGGTAAAACCCAGAGCTCAATAAAAATGCCTCAACACTGGACCTCTAACCCTCACAAAATTACATGAATATTCATTTTTTGGCAAGATTCAATTCAATTCAATTCAACTTTATTTATGCAGCGCCAAATGACAACAACAGTCGTTTCAAGGAACTTTATATTTTAAGGTAGACCCTACAATAATACATAAAGAGTCATATGACCCCCTATGAGCAAGCACTTTGGTGACAGTGAGAAGGAAAAACTCCCTTTTAACAGGAAGAAACTTCCGGCAGAACCAGGCTCAGGGAGGGGCGGAGCCATCTGCTGCGACCGGTTGGGGTGAGAGAAGGAAGACGACGGGATAAAGACATGCTGTGGAAGAGAGACAGAAATTAATAACAAGTATGATTGTTATGGATGAAGAGTACTTCATCCATGTGAGGTATCTGTTGTGTTATACCAGATAAAAAACTGAGAACCACTGAAGTAGATCATTACTTAGTCTTTGTATAAAAGGTAATGGATGCTTCATAAACATGTATAGTTATAGCCTATATTTTCCTTTGACAAATGCACTTGAAATTTGAATTTAACACTCAAATTTGAATTTTTTTTTCTCTGAGATACACATTTCCACCTGGATAGATTTCAAAGCAGAAGAATATTTAAACAATTCACAAGAAGCACAGAAACAGTAAGATCAGTTTTCTAGTTCCAACAGGGACTAAAATCTTAGGTAGAAAGTGGTTTCAAAGCAACAACTGCTCACAGATGCCTCAAAACTTTTTCTTCCTACACCTGTGAGACGGGAAGTCTAACGGGATTTATATACTGTAGAGCTGTATTATATATTTATTTCTTTCGTACAGATTGATATGAATATTAATTCTGGATTAATTATCTGATATTTTCGTCATTTTTTCTGGATGTCAAATTATGAATAAATCACAGCGGGATGCAATAAAACTACCCTGGGGTTGTTTTAAAGGTGTTTTAGGCACACACACAATCACAAATCCACAATTTACTTGAAAATATTATAAATGATAGTAAATAATAGCTTTATTAAAGTCCCAAATTCTATGCACAGTAAAAAACAATTTCAGTTTTGCTCAGGTACAGCACCACAATGGATTCAAATGAAATAATCAAGTTGTGGCAGAAATGTAGACTTTCAGCTTCATGGAAAAATGTTCCATGATTGTTAATAGATTTACAGCCACACAGAAATATTAGCAGTAGCAGAAACTTTAGCAGTGTCCAAATCAATCTGAAGTATTTGGTGCATTCCTCCCCAGTTTTGGAACATTTTTTCCTTTGGATCTTCTACAAGATCAACTTGTAGAAGATCCAAAGCATGCCACATCATCTGTGAAACATGGCAGAAGCAGTGTGATCCACGAGCATGTTCGGCTGCCAATGGAATAGAAGTTTACTGAGGATGTGAACGCTGATAGAAGTAGCAGGAGGAATGCTGAAGAGTAAACGGCTTTACTCTGCTGAGATTTAGCCAAATGCTGAAAAACTTGTGGGACAGTGATTCATAGCACAGATGGCTGAACAGCAGCAAGACCCACAAACGAGCAACAACTGATGGCGCTGCAGTGAAAGCCTGGCAGAGCATCTTAAGGTAGAAAAATCAGCATTTGAAGATGTCCGTGGTTACTGACTGTATAAGACTGCATCCGAGCATTCGAAGAATTCTTATGTTTAAAACTGCATTAAAATCGGTGGAGTTCTTGGCTTTTTGTGGAGCACTTTCCAGAACATCAAACAACAGCTAGGTTGGAAAATGAGCACTTTCAAGTCTGAAGTCGTTGTCTGTTGGAAAGGGGTGGACCCCTACTCCAGGTTGGAGATAAGTTGCTGTCTCAAGTGGAAAAGCTCAAGCATCTCAGGGTCATTTTCATACGCAGGAGGAGTGGAGCAGGAGGAAAACAGATGAACCTGTGCAGCTCCTGCGGTGGTACAAGTAATTAACTGGCTTGATATGGTAAACAGAACTCTGATTGTGAAGGTAAAGCCGTCAATTTACAAGTCAATCTCTGTTCCTACCCTCACCTCTGAGCTTCCTCATGAGGTGGGCGTCTGTGCTCATTTGTAGGGCGAGGATGAGGTCCTTAGCCATTAGGGAGTACAAAGCTGCTGCGCCACTGCATCAAAAGCTTAGGTGGTCTGCGAATCTAACTAGGATGCGTCTCCTGGACACTTCCCAGGTAAGGTTTCAGAAATGTCCAACCAGCAGGAGCTCATGAGGAGGAAAAAGAGAGAGCTGGACCTGAATAATTTAAATAAAAAGGATGGATGGATGGATGTACTGACATACACAGGCAAAATACCTCAAATTATGTCACTGTCCAAATACTTATGGATCTGCAAAGAAGAAAAAAATCTGTAGTTTTGGCTAAGATACCCTCACTCCCACTCACAAGGCACAGAGAGAGAGACCCATAAAAAACTATCAGAAGGTCTGTGAAGCAATAAATAGTGCTCGAACACGCAGTGACACCACTACACTGCGCACAGGCCCTTCATGCTTGGACGTTTCTGAGTGGCTCCTCGTGTTTTCCCTTCCAAGCAGTTGGTGAGACGTGGGATTCTGCCGCTGACTCACTGGTGTAACCGAAGCAAACAGAGATACAACCGTTCGCCGAGCGTGCATTGGAGCGAATCACGAGGCAGCGCCGTTGTTTCACTCGCCCGATGAGGAGAAATGTCAGGATAATACTGTGGTTATATAACTTCATGCTAAGGAGGAGGGATACATCGCAAAGAACCTTGCCGACGCTATCAAATAAATGTTAACTATGTGTCAGAGAAGGTGGGCGTCTCTGTGTGAACTTTCTTTTTTCTCATTAGCTACGAGAGAATAATTTCTTGTAATGCCGTGCATTTCTCTTTTAGATAGCAGACATTAATGAGAGCCATAGTCAAATGCTTGTCCTGCACTGTATCCTCCCAGTTCTTACAATCAGTTCTCTTCTCTCTGGGTGCTGGACACCTGGGCTGAGAATACTACAATGTCTATGCTTAATGAAGTTTAGAGGAGAGGAAACAGTGTATCAATTTAGCTTAAAGCACCGTTTTTCATGCGGAGACTCTCTTGCAAGGATGACGTAAAAAGCTTGTGGATTACAACGCTCTGTTATCAGGAGACATGGGAAGTAAGTAAAGTTAAATGAGATCAGTGTCCTCTCCTCTCAGAAGAGCCACAGAGCTGTTTGGATCAAGACAAGCGGCCTGTAAAAGTGGCCTGTAATTACATAAACTAACTCCAGACAGCAAGGAGGATGAAAAACTAAAACTAGTGAGTTTTTGAAGGGTTCAGGAGAGTAGCTGTCCACTGGCCATGCCTGCTTATCATAATGCTACTCCAAACACAGCGGTGACCTCATTTAAAAGGTTTAAGTTAAATGTTTCCAATGAA